CCATTTGGAGAGGGGCCCACGCTGGATCAGGTTTTCCTGGTAGGACTTGAAGCCCTGTGGGGGACCCACACTGGAGCAACCTGTGCCTGAAGGAATGTACCCCATGGAAAAGTGACCCACATTGTAGCAGTTCATGAAGAACTGTTGGCTGTGGGATAGCCTCATGTTGAAGTTAATGGAGAACTATCTCCCATAGGAAGGATCCCACATTGGAGTGGGGGAAGGACTCCTGTCTCTGAGCAACAGCAGAAACAACCTATGATGAACTGACACTAACTCCCATTTCCTGTCTGTCTGTGCTGCTGGGAAGGAGGGAGGGGTGAGAGAAAGGTGCTTTTAAGGTTTATTTTACTTCTCATGATCCTACTCTGATTTTTGTTGCTAGTAATTTAATTAATATCCCCACTTCAGGTCTGTTTTGCCCATGATGGTGATTGGTGAATGATCTCTCCTGGTCCTTATCTCAACTCATGAACATTTCCTTATATTTTGTGTCCCCTGTCCAGTTGCACAGGGGAGTGAGAGAGTGGCTTTGGTGGGTACCTGATGTGCAGCCAGGGTCAACCCACCACACCAGTCTAACAAAAGGCCTGTCATATTTGAAGACAGAAAAATATAGTAGCTTCTGGATTCCATGTTCTGGGTGCATGATCCCCAGGGCATGACTGAATGGGTGTATTCCCCTTTGACTAACATAATGGGGATGGCGGCCAAACATCTCAGTCCTAACCTTGGGCCTGGGCCCATTCCATAGCCAAGATTGCTCCTGCCACTCAAACACAGGAAGTAGTTCAAGCTTGAGTAAAAGACTGTGTATAAGGGACAACTGCCTCAAAAACAGGGTTGAGGACTTACAGGCTTTCAGTTAATGCTTAGCGTTAAAAGTCTCCAATCCAGTGCTCAACTCATCAAGGTGACAAGAACTAGTGATGGAAGCAGACGCATGTTCATTAGTGACTTCCACTTTGGCTTATGGACTTACAGTTCACTTTTTCATAGAGAAGACTAGAAATTATTATGCATATTGCTACAGGCTAAAAACCCAAGCCCATTTTATTTATCATAATTAGTTTGATTTCTGTTTTTAAATGACCTTTAAGCTAGAATGCTAAAAGTAATCCAGAGTTCTTCCTTACTTTGGCAGTCTTTTTGTTATTCTCCAATGGTATGTCATGAAAGTGGCATCAGTTTTGTATGACAAAAAAAAACCCCAACAGTCAAATTGACTAATAAACATGCCTGAAACAGGTTAGATACAAGCTGGGAAATGTTGTAGTCTACAGTGTCTGTACTCATAATCATTTTTGATCCAGCAAAGTTTATTAGCAATACCTTACTGTAGGTCCTACCAGACTCAAGCTAAATCCATGGAGAGCCATCTGGGTGTCAGAACTGTTGACACACCTTTAGACTGTTGTTTAAAGGAAGACATTTTACTGTTAGTGTTCATGGGTCCATGACTCCATAAGGTCTCCTTGAATATGGGTTACATAGAGAAACACTTGATTCTTCATTTGTGGAAACTCCTTTTTTCTATCAGAGGATGGACTGTGAGTAGTTCTCATATTTCTGCACTGTGCAGCCAAATGTTTCTGTTCTAGGAATGTTGTAGAGAGACACAGGGCTTGTGCAGCAGAGGCCATGTGATTGGTCTATACCATGCACAAGAAAACATAGCAGCTAAGCATCTTCCATCTTATTTTGTACTGCAAGAAGTAAATATCATGTTCCTATGTTACAAAGTCTCAGGGTCACTTGGACTCATACGGATCTAGCACAGGTTTCCCTGTTCTAGTGCACTAGGTAACTTGCAGCTCAAGGACCTGCCTGAAGGGAAACACGGAGCTGACTGTGTTTACAGTGGGCACAGGTCTAAACATTCTTACTGATCTGATTATTTTTTTTTAAAAGGCTACTTCAGATTTCAAATTTTTAATATAAAAAATATTGACTAAAAATAGGACATCCGTATTTTACAGTTTTGTGTATCTTTCACAATTTATGTACTTTCATCATCAAGATGTTTTTAACATATTGCACACCATATGCTTCCTTAACCCCACAGTCATCTTTAGTGAAGATCTTCCCACATGCTCCAATATTATTAGAGTCTATTTTAAAACATTTTTTCAGGTAAGATAAGTATTCTATAACAGCAAAAATCTAAAACCAATCACCAATAGAATTAAGATCTTCATTTAAATTTTTTTAAACTTTTTTTTCTTATAAGTAACTGAATGGAGATATGTTAAATTCCTCTTGTGGATCAGAAAAGAGTTAAGTAAGAAGGAAAATAAAAGTGTACAAAAGAATAACATGTTAGGTCTTTATCAAAACCCAAAAGCTAACACCAGTCAACAAAATTAGGGAGAGAAACAAAGTTGATAAAATACTTTTTTCCTACAAAGTTGGCTTTGAAATGGAGAAACTGTGACCACCCTAAGCTTCTCAAATGAAAAGGATGCAAAATGGGATTTGTCATTTCTCTGCTATCAATTACATTCAAAGTAAATTTATTTTATTATGACAAAAAAGGAAAGATTATTGCATCTATTGCTGCAGAGCCTACACCCACCTCTAACTATTAAAGAAACAAATTATCCCACATGAGTCTTGCACTCTTATCTGAAATATTGGTACCACTGCTAGACATTAGATGAAACATACTTGTGGTTAGAGCTGAGTAACGGTCAGGAAAAAGGCAAGCAAGCAGAAGCAGGGAAATTCCCACAGACTTCAGTGATTGAACTCTCACTGTACTATTCTTTCTTACCCAGCCTTATTTTCTATCCTTTTAATATGGTGCAATTCACTTTTTATTAGAGGTTAGCTGACATGGAGTCATTAAAGGTAGAGTGAATGTTATATTTTGGTTCTTCATCTGCTTCACAATGCCTGATGTTAAATAATTAGAAAAGACTGAAAAGATAAGAAAGCTTGTGGGAAATAAAAGGTTATCCATGTTGGGAATTCACATATAATTTCAAAAGAGAGAGGATTTTTAAAAACCAGATGTAACTTGTCCACATAAATTCAACTCTGTCATGTGAACATAAATTTGACTATCCTCGTTACAGTTATTATTACATTTTCTAATTACGGGAGACTGGAAATAAAATGGTAGAAAGGGGTAGCTCTACCCAGACAAAACTTACCTGATATGTGCTTTGGATCCCTCCTCCCCTCTGTTTCCCCATCTAAATCAGAGAAGTAATACTACTACCAAGCATGTACAAGTTAGTACATTACACAGTGTAATGCTGTGTATTGTAGAAACACCTACACTAGCATTAACCAGATGAGACACAGGCTTAGCCTAAGAATATATGTTTGTGGTATAATTTTGTGACTTAACTGTAGAGAAACAGTAATATCTAATATTTCATGAGATGCGGAGGAAGAGGAGGGAGAGATCATCTTCATTGATGTCCATACCCATCTGCAGGAATTCTCCCCTTGCCAGCACAAGGTGTGTCTATGTACCTTTGCATCCAAGCTGGCTGTGATTTATGCTATCAGGAAATAATAGAGAACACACTGGATTACCAGTAACCCATTGGAATAAAAGGAAATGTTGACTGTCCAGAGGTATGTGTTGCATTTGCAGCCATGTATACGCAAATAAAATCCAATTAAGGCTTTGGAAAAACAGTAGATGTTTGTTAGTGTCCTTAGTAGACATAATTGTGTTTGAATGTTGGACATAAGAGTAAAATAAAAACAAAATAGCCTATCTTAATACAAAAAGGTTAGCCGGTTTCATAAAAGAGGTAATAAGAGTAATTAGCCTTTTAGTGAATTTATATGTTCTGCTTAAATGTTTGCAGTCCAAGCAATTAAAGACAGTTTTACAGCAACCAACTTTAGATGTCAGTAACTGTAACTATATTTTACACATTTGTGGAGTTAATGTAGGAAAATGTTGCATATCTGGCAGTGCTAGAAAACATCTGCGAGTGATGTAAGTGAACCACGCACTCAGTATACCTAGGGGAATTAATATATAATTAATAAATAGAGTTTATGGATACAGATAGAAATTGAAGAGCTTACTGATAGAAGAAATGCTTAAGAATTGAAATTAATTTTCTGAAAAGTAATCTCTGATATCTTTTTTTGCTTTTTCTCTTCTGGACCAAAAGGATTATTATCATGACAAAGAACTGCTGGGCTTATGTGATAGAAAGCTTATTTGCTTGTTTTAGTTGACCTGAACTATGAAAAAAGTGATACTTATTTAGATTTTGCTGTTACAGAATGAGCACACTGCTCATTAACATTTTTCATGTGACTGTTTATGAGGACAGACTATTTAAAAACACTTCTTAGGCATGCCCTTAGGAGTTGGAACCTGCTGCTCCAATGAAGGTGTCTAGCACTTCATGAGATGCTCCAGAGTTTCTGAGCTATCCACACAGAGATTAAAAACTCAGTACAGCATCTTCCTGGAGCACTAGCTGGGGGTGAGAAACCCCAGGGAGGTGATCAAAGGCAGGAGCTAGTGTTTTCCTTCATCATCACTGAGACGACTACCGAAGACACCAGCAAAGGCCACGGGGCAGTGCAGCACCTTCCCAGTCCCACCAAGGGAAAAGCTGCCTCTTTACTAATAAGCTGGGTCCCGTCTCTGGTACAGGCCACAGAGAGATGTGCATCTGTATGACTGAGCTCTCTCATTCTCCAGAAGAGGGTGGTAACCTGAAAGCTTTCCATGGGGATGGGCTGCTGGCCTGGAGCACCTCCTGAAGTGCTGATAAAAGATTTGGGGGTACTGCTAAAAAGTGGCCATGCAGACAGCTGAGTCCAGGCCTGGGGGAGTTCCTGGCCATGCACAGTTTCCCTGAGCAGTATGACTGATGGCTGCAATGGGGCAAAATGGGGTACTGCAGCAGCCCCAGAAATACTCCTCTATCCATACCTCCCTTTCCCCGGCACTGTGAACAGCAGGAGGAGACATCTGCCTGGCAGAACCTGCATTCACATGCAAGTGACGGCTCCCAGAACTTACCCACTCTCCCAGCAAGGGGACTCTGTCCCCATGTCCTAGGCTCTCACCCCAGTGTGAACTCAGCAGATGGCACCCTGCCACAGGATGTGTTGCTGGGCATGGCAGTGCTGGGCCATCAGGCAGCCAGACTCCAGCCAACCTCCCCGCTGCCATGACAGGTCCTGTGTGGAGCCCTCACCAGGACTGGTGCTATTTAGGAGACTGGGGCCTCACTCTTTGGGGTGCTGCCACCTCCTCTCCCTGCTGCAGGAGGCTAGCAGCCAGGTATCTGGGAAAAGTGGCCCTGGTATTATTGCTGGCCTCAGCTGGGAAGCAGGTGCTGCTGTCTGGGGACTGCCCGACTGGTCCCCCACAGGTGCCCTGAAAGCCACAAACTAGCTCTGGGTATGGGTGGTGAGGAGAGAAAGAGAGCTGGAAGGGAAACATGCAGGGAATCTGACTGGTATGATGGAACAGGAGAGAACAAGTGCTCGAGTCCAACAAATGCATTGCTAGAAGCAAAAGTGGGATTTCAGCTTCTGTAAGCCCTGGCTTTGTAAAAGAGCCATCTTGGAGCTGTGAGAAACTTACATCTGATCTTATAGGAGTGCAGGTCCAACACAGTCTTGCTCTCTAAATGAGGGCAAGCTCTTGTCACCAGGTCTTCTGTCAGGCTTTGGGCTGAGGCTTCTTGGCTGGAGGCTTCAATCATGAGTGTAATAGAAATGAGCTATAGGAGAGATAGAAATGAGTGAGGAATCAGTTGGGGAAAATGGTAAGGAATGTTAGGACAGCCTTCATCAGCGAGGGGGTTGCTGTGGCTCCTTCCTGCTCTGTGTTTGCCCCATTTGCACCTTGCTGGGTGGGAGGGAACAACGGGAGTGGTTTTTTGTTTTCACTTTGCTAAATGTAATTTCCCTTGTAACATGAACCAAACACTGCAGGGGTGATTTTTTTTCAGGCCACATCAGTCATCTTGTTATCAAACAAGATTTTTATACAGACCAGTCTGGCAATATATTTGTAACCTACGATCTGTCAGGCCGTCCTTAAACAAAAGCTCGCTCTCAGTGTAAAGCAGCTCAGGTTTCTGCTCTTTCACCTTTGGTATTCCCACAATTGCAATGTAAGCTTTCTTGTTCAAATCATTCTATAAGCAAATTGTGACATTACTTATCTTTCTAGTCCTGGATTTTTTTTCCTGGGCAAGAATTATTTTTATTTGATTGCTAACTCCGTCATTCTTAATACATTTTTATATTTGAAATTTAAGAAGTCTGGCTGTGGTTTACTTTTCTCATAATTCCACAATCATTATTGAGTATTATATTATTAACGAAAAAGTAGGAACCAATGAGATGGATAGTAATCTCGTATCTGTTATGTCAAACTTCATTAATTAGTAATTTTTCCTGTGTGTCTAATAATATCAGGTAGCATTGCTACATATGCACATCTCCTTTTGGAATAAAACATGCTGGGTATGTGGATGATGCTATGAACTTCATATAAGGTATGAGCTGTGTATTCTAAGTGACCTGCTTGGTCACTCTAACAGCGCATAAAGGACAGTGAACTTTTTGTAGCTACTAACCTATTGGGGAAACAGAGATGCAAGAGAAAAGGTAATTTGCTCTCTCATTTGCCAAAACCCTTGCTATGTAAAATAAAGAAGAATCAGGCTTTCATCTGTTTTCCCCTAATGAGAAACGTGTGCAGAAGAATAGGGGACATGAAAGGTCTCAACCAAATTCACATTACTATTCTTCTGGAGTAGTCAAGATTTAGAGGTAATGTTTCCTTGGGGATTTTTAGGTGGGTTTGAATTTAAAAAAACACCAAAGTTGCACTAAACGTCATCACTTTCCTAAATAATAGTGCTGTTCTCAAACTTCTAAGATTTAAGAGACCAAGAACAGCAAATAGCAAGCAGCAAATAAATCTGTACTGTAAAAAAGTTAAAGTACTATTTTTTGTTATTAATAGCTAAGCTATGGAGAAAAATAGCAGAACTGGAATAAGATATACAACCTGAAGGATGTATTCCTATAATCTTAAATGCTCTGTGAGTATGCTTAGATTGTTCTCATTCATCCCTGTTTGTTTTCCAGGCATGCATAGAGAAGACCTAACTTCCTGATTTAGAGATAATTTATTTAGTCAAAGAAGACACATAACAAAGTTACTGAGCTCAAGACTCCAGCCAGTGAGAACAATAATTAAACCAGTTAACAGTCCTTTGGATTCCTTCTACACATTGATTTTCAACTTGTGCATCAAAGACCTGCACTTGATATATTTCCAAGACTTAGAAAAATTCTGCTTACAGAGCCAAGTAGTAAGATTTTCCTGACACTTAGGGTTGTCTCAATTAATTTTGTTCATTCTTTGCTATTTTCCATGGCTGAAATGAAGATAGGAGAAGCAAGCACCTAAAGTTGAACATACCAAATATAATTTTAAAGAAGCATAACTAATTACGAGTGTATGGTCTAGGTAAACATTACAACACAGTTGAACATGGCTGAAAAACAATAAAATATCTGTACTTAATATTACACATTTCTGGGTCTTCTTGTTTGTTTGATACTATGCAAAAACTGATGATAGCCTCTGAGGAAAGATTCTGCATGGCAGCATAAAACTATTCATTCAGCTTCTTGACTGGACTTACATGCCCCCTTCATAGCAGTGAACCTGAAAGAGCCATTCTTCCATGGGTAGCTCAAAAATGGCCAAAGGGAAGACATGGTTTGGCTAATAAAGCATGGTAACCAGGGAGAGTCACTTTTTCCTGTTCTGGCCTACAAAATCAGAGACTCCCTCACAGACAGAAACTGAAATGCCTTTTCAGTGTGTTGCCAGGGCAGTAGGTACCTACAAGAGACTGAAGAAGGCTCAACATGGATTTTGTGAAGTTAAATCATGCCTCTGAATTATTGGAGGGTAGAAAACAGGACTGGAGTGGAAGGAAAATCAACAGAGGAGTTTCTCAGAGATCTGCACTGGGATCATCTCATTTGACATATTCATTAAATGTTGAGGTGTCTTGAGTTCTAGCTCAAACAGTCCTTCATGTTTTCAGAAAGCATTTGAATTTCTAACAAAAGAAGAGCCAAATAAGTTTATGGAGCCAGGAGTCTTCATCACAGAAAAAAGATAACTAGGGGAGAAAATAGTACAGGTCTTCATTATCATGTATAACATAAAAAGGTGACTTAATTGCTTAGTGTTTTTTTCTACCAACAGCAGGAGTACTAACTGAAGATAGGTAGCAAATTCGATGTAAACAAAACAAGGTGGTTCTTCACATGACTTTCAGTTACCTGTGGAATGCTTGAAATGTTCACATGCAATTAAATTAATGAAACAACATTAATATTAATGATTTTAATTAATAAATATGAATATTAATAATATTCAACTATTTATATTAATAGTTTATTCATATCAACTATGCTAATGTTGATAAGAATCAGTTTTGACATTACACTAGTAAGAAGAGTACAACCGATCTTGAAACCCTAAATTTGGTATTATGTATGTTGTTTTGATCAGCTTCAGACACTGGTATACTTTTAGTTAGCTCAACATATAAATTAGAGTAAAAGCAGAACCATAGTCTCTACAGTAAAAATACATACAGTAAATGTAAAAATAAAATGTATTATCCTTAATCCTCAAAATTTGACAGCAACTTTTTCTGAAGTTTTCTTCTATATGGAGGTTGAGCAACTTGATTATTCATTCATTACTTTCCTTTCTTCTTAGACGTATGTGCATTAGATATGAGCACATCATAAATATTGTGTGAAAACCAGTCTGTGCTTTGGATTAACAATATCTGGCAAGTTTAATTCTCTTACATCCTTGGAAATGATGTTAAGTTAGTCCCCAATATGTGCCACAAGTTGGAGCTCCATGACACATCATGCATATATGAACACAATCTTTCCCTTAAAAATATAAACATTATCAAACTATAAAGTGAACTTCAGTTAGAGTATATGCTCAGCTTACTCATTTATTAACTGATATGAGAGTATCATTATAGCTTTAAAGAATTGGTGTTTTTTCCTCATTATGACTAAAAAATGCAGAAAGCACAAAAAAATCAAAGTTTATATGTGTTTCTGCTCTTTTAAATGAGGAAACATTTTAAATTCAAGAAAAAATGTGAAAAGGAATTTAAAAATCTGAAATCTTGAAAACAGAGCAAGTGAAATAAGCATGAATGTTCCACAACATCTTTTTTTAAACTATAGAGGCAGTATGGTTTGTATTTTTGGAAAGTTGAGTCATTTCTAATGATAACAGAACCAGTTTAAAAGTTTGAGCAACACAGTGCCCTTCTTAAACTGTTTTTTGAGGTTTTTTTTAACAGAATATAAAGAAACAAAAAAGCAGTACTTTACCTATATTCTTCCTGGAAAGTACTAGGCTTACTTTCCAAAGACTGTTTTGTTTTTTTTTCTGGGAGAGAAAGAAGTCTGTTCCCACCTCCTAAATGTGTATGCTTGTTCTAGTCTGCATTTTAATGAATTAGAAAATATATCTTGTTCAGCTTGGCAGTGTTTTAATGTATCAGTCAGTATTGTTACTCTTTTTCTTTTCTATTTTGAGTTCAATGAACAATCGTGGTGAAAGTCAAAATACATTCCTCTCTTGTAAGGGATATAGTGCTTATCTCACCATTAAGAAAAAAGTGAGTCCTTTTTCTTACATAGCAGAACACCTTAGTCCAAATCTAAGACAGGAGGAATATATTACAACTAAGGAATATCTATATACAATTAGTTGAAAAATTCCCATTAGGTTTTGGGTAGATATGTATTTCTATTTTAAATAAAGTGTCTTCTAGATTTTGAAATTAAATTAATCAAAGAGATCCCTCCTGTTCCCCATAAGAACGCATCATGTTATCAGTGTGGTTTCAGTTTTATGTAGTTATCCTCTACATTTCACCCAGTTGTCACAGCTGCACTGTAAAATTGTGCCATATTTAACTTTTCTGAAGTTACATCTCTCAAAGTTTTTTTGGTGGTTTAGAGAAACCTACTTCTCATAGAATAAGAATTTTTGCACTGTGGGGGCCAGGTTATTTGTACTTGGTATGTGTGTGGTAAACATCCATTGTCTAGGCCTGCAAGTACAAAAATAGGTAATGGTCCCAGCAAATTCTCTTCTTTATGAAAGACATTAAAAGTGGCTACTAAGTTTAGAAACCATGGCTCATGCTTGGAAATATGTGTAAGCAGTCTGTAAGCTGCTGGATTTTGGTGTTTCTCCAGCATCTTTCTTCAGGTTTCCAGGGACATGCAGTCTCTCCTGCCTGTTTTAGCAACCTCACAGCTAACTTCTCCCTCTATATATCTTTTCATGGAGCATATGGTAGGTGGCATTACTCAGCTAACAGATGTGCCTTTATGATGCCTGCAGTTTGTACCATGCATGCAGGACTTGTGGTACATAAACAGAGATTGGTAACACTTGATAAGGTCATTATACTGGCTATTTTTGTTATATGTGTCAGCAAACTCCAGGACTAAGAGAAATCAGACCCATATATCTGACAAAGACCACGTTTTTATATGTTGCTTATAGTAGACAGGCTGTTATTTGATTTGTTAGCATTTTACGGGCCCTCTGCTATGCTAGTGTGATGGATACCTTGGCAGTCCCTTTCATTAATATCCCATAATAAAGTATTTATGATACCACCATTGACTCATGGAGACATATTTTACATCTCTGTATAGTATGTTAAAAAGCTGGATAGACGTGGGTTTTGTGTCAGGGAATAGTGACAGCAGCTGGATACAGTTACAACAGTGTTAACTGTGAGAGTAAGAATGAGGGTCCACTTTAAAACTCAAAAAAACCACAAGGTCTTCCTTCACCATCAAATGGAGTAAACATTGTGTCATTACAGAACACTGAAAATGGACACTGCCACCCTGGATAAATGAAGCCCTTAAGGTATTGTTTTATGTTCTCCTGAGCTGTGGGTTTGAGGGGTCTCCTGCTGACACAGGATTAGTCCCAGCAGACTCAGTGCTCTTTTCTGCAAATGGCAGTGAATGCAAATGAAGTCAGTCAGTTGTGAGGCCTGAAAAATACTATTTATATGCTTTCAAATACAAAGGCACATAACACGCCCTAGGTGAAACCTGTGTTCTTTCCGGGTGTGCTGAGATGAGCTATTTTAATCTACTACTGGGAGAAAAATAATTTCTTTAACGAGGATAAAAATGCTACTGGGCAACACTGAGTCAGATTTTGATCTGCTTTACATCTGAAATCATTGGAGTGGGAGCAGAATAAGCTATGGCACAATGGGGTTTTGTTCGTCAGATACTCTAATAATTGCTTAATAATTGCTGTCAGAGCTGTGAGTCACTATAGCAACCTGTATCCATTTGGTGGTTTTGGTTTTTTCCAGGGATGGTTGTCCACAACTTCTGTGGGCAACCTGATTCGGTGCCCAACCACCCTCATAGTTAAGACGACTCTCATCTAGGTACCAGGACTTCCAGTCATTTCCTTTCTCCATGTATAGTTGTCTCCCTTAAAAAAAACATTAATTTGTGGCCTCCAACTTGTCCTGGTTAGAACGGCTGGGACCAATTCATCACTGGATGGGTGTAATCCAAAACTGTATATTCTATAGCCTTCCATGCCATTTCCCAGAAACTGTTGTCAGTAGAGGCCTGCGAGGTGGGAAAGATGTTCCTGTCCTCATATCCTTTCATGGAATTCCCCGCTCTGATACCCTTTTATGGAATTCCCCTCTCTGAGGGAGGGATTGAGCATCCTGATACCCTTTTATGGAATTCCCCTCTCTGAGGGAGGGACTGAGCATCCTGATACCCTTTTATGGAATTCCCTGCTCTGAGGGAGGGACTGAGCACTCCTGCCTGAACTGGAGAATATATAAACTGGGAGTTTTGGAACCCTTTCCACCACTCGTGGGATCCAGAGGAAGACTGCAGACCATCGCTCCCAACCAGACTGAGACCACCACCCTCAACTGGACTGCAATCACCACTTCTGACCAGACTGCAGCAGCTCTCCCACCAGCAGGTTTATCCCCTCTCCCTTTACTTTGGACTCGGGGGGGGGGGGGCAAGGAACACCACTTTTGTTCATACCCCAGGGTGCTGGGTTATACATTCGGGTTTTGTGGGTTAAAACCAATTGTCTGTCTGTATAATTGTACTTATTGCATTATTTTAATAAATTGTTATTCTGACTTATAAATCTCTCTTTTGAATTGAGTTCATTTCCCCTGCTGGTTAACTTTTAAACCAGCATACAACTAGACTTTGGTGTCAGGTCACCACCATCTGGGACAGGAGGTTCTGCTAGTTTTCAATCCACCTCATCCAACATATACTTTATCAGCTTCTCTATGAGGATCTTATGGGAACGAGTGCAAAAAAGTCTTAATGAAATCTAATTAG